GATATTTCTTTAGTTCTTTTAAGTAAATTATCTTTAAGATCAACCAACGATTGAACTGGATTTGTTCTTTGTGTGTTTTGAATATTTTTAACATTAGTAGTATGAGAGGATTTATTGATAATAGGACTAGAAATTCTCTTTTTGGATGAACTTTCATTAGGGATGATTTGTAATGAGTTATTGATTGATTTAGGAGTGAAAGTAGTGGTAAGAGATGGATGAGTATTAAGATTTTGTTGAATAGACTTTGTTTTTGTTTGTTTAAAGTCTCTAATGATTTGATACATCTCATTGATTTTGTCTAAGATACATTTAAGATTAATAGCATGTTGTTTATTCCATTGAACTTGTTCTTCTTGCATCTCAAAGATTTTTTCATTCTGAAACTTAATTCCATCAAGTAATTGGATGATTTCATGTGGTATTTCTTTTTGCATTAATATTCATTTTGATTTCAAGATTAAAAAATCTTCTTTTCAACTTTATTTATCGGAAAGTTCAAGAAAATGAAAGTTAATTTCAACTCACAAGAACTAAATTATTATTATGTTCATCTCACAACCTACAAGGTCAACTTGCATTGGAATTGACTTAGGAACAACAAATTCATGTATGTGTGTTTTTGATAAAACAACACCTCGAATTCTTGAGAATGCAGAAGGAAAACGAACAACACCATCTTGTGTTTCTTTTACACCAACAGGAATATTAGTTGGAGAAGCAGCAAAACGAATGGAAGCATTACATCCAACAACTACTATCAGTGGAATTAAGAGAATGATAGGATGTCAATACAAAAATGATAAACAAGAAAGAAGACCTTACAAAATTGTTAAAGGAAGGAATGGAGAAGGATGGATTCATATTAATGGGAAGACATATTCTCCAACAGAAATTTCATCAATGATTCTTAAGAAATTAAAAAAAGATGCAGAGGCTAAACTAGGGAAAAGAGTAGATGAAGCAGTTATCACATGTCCAGCATATTTTAATGATGCACAAAGACAAGCTACTAAAGATGCAGGAACACTTGCAGGATTAAAAGTTAAAAGAATTATTAATGAACCAACAGCAGCAGCATTAGCATATGGAATAGATACAAGAAAAGAAAATGAAGAAAGAATATTGCAGTTTATGATCTTGG